GCGCTCTCTCAAGACAAACTTGCTCAGGTTTGCCTTGTCTAAAATAGAAAAATGGAAAGTAACTGTCTTGGGAGACTAAATTTTAATTCTGAAGTAACCTTATCTCAGAGATACCATGTTTTGGAGTTTTATTAGTGGCTAATAAACTATTAAACACTGGGTAATTTGTGACTGCTTTTTTTTTTTTGTGTGTGTGTGTGTGAAATTAGTGTTGAGAGTTTATGTCAAAAATATTTCTAAAATACTAACCGGTTACTTGCAGTGATTATTTTTGGCACCAGGATGATGATGGATTTTAAAATAATTTTTTTAATAGATTCTGTGTCTCACAGCCGGAATTCTTGCTGAATCTACGAAGGAGCTAATTCAAAATTCTTTTCACATTTAGTGGTTTTTACTAAAATATAAATTAAACTTCGTGTTTTGGATTTTTTGAATTTCTAGTATTTACATTATTGTGGATTAAGATACTGTATGCCTGTGTGTGGTCACTTAGACAGACAAACCACACTGAAGTTCTCCAAAGCACATGTAAAGACTTGGGACTTAAAAAGCCATTAATTTATTACTATTCTTATGAATATATATTTTTTTTTCATGTTAAGGTTGTGCATGTTACCAAGGGCATGAATGTAATTAAGAACTAAGATACATTCTGTCAGCTTATGATCCTTTATGACTTTCTTGACTATTAAGGCAGTACACTAAATGGCTGTCTTCTTTCAGGAATTAGTTAGACTAAATAGTGCTTTCATCTTGTATTGTTTAGACATGATTTCATGCAAAAAAAAAAAAAGGTTTTATTAATTAATTTGTACACTTAAGAAAAGATTTGAAGTGCTAAATCAAATTGCAGAGTTCCCCTATATTTTCCCGGAAAGTAACGCTCACTGAAATTTTGTTGTTTTACTTAATTCTTCCATAAAAACAAAATAATAAATGAAAAACTTCCATTGCAGAAGCAGTATTAATCTTTATATTTTGGACCTACTGAAATTGATATCGAGCTAGTGTAAAGTAAATTAAAGAAAAACTATTCACAAAAGGGTTACATTAGTGAATAAGTAGTAGTGTTCTAGATATTTACTAGGTTTGCCTCTTCATTGATCCAGGTTTCTTTAGGAACTAGAAATCTTCTCAGGGAACATTTCCTCTTAAACATTGGAATGTTAGCTGTGGTAGTAGGCAGTTGAAAAGTGTTTTTTTTTATGGCAGCATACTATTTTTTCTTTTAGTTTAAAATAACCCACTAAAATGAAAATTAAATATGTTTCTGCATGGATTTCTAAGCACTGCTCAAACATCACTTTGGTAATAGCAGTTCCATAGTTTCAGAATTGTCTTGTGATTCTTGTGATCTAATCAGAATGCATTTTTATTTGGAGTTGTTTTTTGATCAGAAATTTTACCTGTATCTCATTCTCTGTATCTTAACTGTATTAACAGAATGCCTTGACATGAAAGGCATACACACATGCCTTTCTTTTGTGCAAGGAGATGGTACAGCTTCAAGAAGGAAATTGGACTGAAAGCTGTACACAAGCCTAATGGTGAATCTGTTAATGAAATGCTTCACTGCTTTTCTTGCACAGCAGTGGATTGCACTGACGTTTTGTCATGAAGCCTGGAGCTGGCTGCCTTTCAGAAAACTTATTTTAACATAAAAAAGGAAGAGAGAAGGGAGAGAGAAGAAAGCACCCAGAAAATTTCCTTTTGATAAAACTCTTTGGAGAGAGAGAAAAAACAGGTTTCCACAATTTTTCCACGTTTTGCATAATGTAACAAATGAGCCCTTTTTTTTTAAATTCTTTTTTAATACTAATAAGTATTCTAACATAGTGTTAAACCAAATGTGTTTCTGGTATTGTTTTTCTAGTTTAGGTAACTGCAGCTTTAAGCTGTTGTACTTCTTGGTATGTGTGATGTGCCTGAATTCAGCCTTTCCAGGTCCAAACACACTGGTAAGCCGTAGGTTTGTAGTTTATGGAGAAGAATAAGAATGAACCTCAGCTGTACAAAAATCTTACGTAAACTTAGGAACCCAGATGTGAAATGGTAAATGTGAGATGGTAATCTTTGATTTTAAAGATATGGGTAGAAACTGTAAATAAGTTTATTCATTGTTGTTCATTTACTCTTCTCTCTGTTTCGCCTTTGTTGCTTTTTTTTTTTTTTTCA